GGCACCAGGGGGTTACAGCAAAAACCAGCTTTGGCAGCCAAAATCCCTCTTAAGGCTTTAATCTCATGAGAAATTGGCGGGGGGGGGGGGGGGGCAGTGCCACCGAGTGTGCCCCCCCTGCTGTCCCCAGCCTTGGGGGGGGCACGGGGACAAGTGCAAATTTAAGACAAATCCCTAAACCTGGCTTAAAATTCAGTGGGATTTAAGGGGTGGGGGGGAAAGTGGACGGGAGGATGCAGTGGGGAGAGGGGCTGGAGGGTTTGGGGAGCCCCCCCTGCCCCCCCCGTGTGGGGGCCCAGGCGCTGGTCAGGGTGTAAAGGTCGGTGCTGGCGCTGTTTGCACACGGAAGTGGCACCGTCCCCGTGTCCCGTCCCGGCGGGGCCTCCTCCCGCCTGGCACAGCAGGTAGGGAGGGCAGGGATCAGGGATGGAGCCCCCCCAGCCCGTGGCATGGGTAGGATGGGTGGTGGGGGTGTCCCCCACACAGGGTGGGCACCCGACAGGGACCCCAGGTGTGTCTGTGTGGGGACACGGGGTCCCCTGGGCCTGGCACAGCCAGTGTCCTGTGTCCATGGGGACACAGAGGCCCTGCTGCTGCAGCAGGGGCCCATTGGGATTGGGATCAGGGGGTCCCCATAGAGACGGGGCTCTGGAGGTGCCCATGGCCCCACAGGAATAGGAATAGAGGGGTCTCCTTAGGGACAGGATGCTGGGGGTCCCCATTGGGATCAGGACTGGGGGGGTCTCCTTAGGGACCAGTCCATGTGGCCCCATAGGGACAGGACTCTGGGGGTCCCCATGGCCTCATAGGGACAAGTCTCTGGAGGTTCCCATGATCCCATAGGAGTGAGACTCTGGGGGTCCCCATAGGGATCAGCCTCTGGGGTCTCCATGACCTCATAGGGAAAAGCTCCTGGGGTCTTCATAGGGGTCAGGCTCTGGGGGGTCCCCATTGCCCATAGGGACTGGGCTCTTGGGGTCCCCATAGCCCCAGAGGGGTGGGGCTCTGGGGGGGTCCCCATAAGGACACTCTCTGGGGGTCCCCACAGCCCCCCATAGCCCAGGCCTTGCTCTCCTGACCCCAGTCCCTGCCCCATGTCCCCATGGCCATGGTGATGGGATGGGGGCAGTCCCCCACATCCCGTGACCAAATCTTGCTCCACCCCACACCCAGCATCACCCCAGCCCCCCCAGGTGACACCGCCTCTGGAAGGACCCCAGGATCCATCAGGGAGTGACACCAGGTCCTAACCGGGCATTTTGGGGTGCAGGGAAGGAAAGGAGAACATCCATGGGGTTCCAACCCTCCCTGTCACCCCTGTCACCGCAGACCTCGCCGTGCTGGGATGGCCCCGGATGCCTGAGCCCCCCTGGCCCCTCCCCAGCCATGGAGACCGTGGTCATCGTGGCCATCGGGGTGCTGGCCACCATCTTCCTGGCGTCCTTCGTGGCGCTGGTGGTGGTGTGCAGGCAGCGGTACTGCCACCCCAAGGACCTGCGCCACCACTACGACACCAAGTGAGTGACACTGTCAGGGAGGGACCTCAAGGGGCCCCACGGGCTGGGGACAGGGCTGGGGACGTGTCCAGCAACATCAAGGGGACAGTGTCGGGGACAGGTTATCAGGGGGACAATGAAGGGGACACGTCCTCTGTCACGGGGGGGAGGGACGATGCAGGGGACATGTCCAGCATCATCAGGGGGACAATGAAGGGGACACGTCCACTGTCATTGTGGGGATGAAGCTGAGGAAACATCCAGCATCATCAGGGGGACAATGAAGGGGACATGGCCAGCATCATCAAAGGGATAAAGCTGGGGACACGTCCATAATCATCAGGAGCACAAAGCTGGGAACGTGTTCACTGTCATTACAGGGATGATGAGGAGGAGATGCACAGCATCACCAGGGGACAAAGATGGGGACATGTTCACCACCATCAGCAGGGCAAAGATGGGGACATGTCCACTGTCATCAGGGGGACAGTGCAGGGGACATGTCCAGCATCATCAGAGGGAAGAAGTTTGGGACTTGTTCACCATTATCAGGGGGGTGAAGCTGGGGACATGTCCAGCATCATCAGGGCCGTGGGGCAGCCCGAGGAGGTGGCCTTGTCCCCATGGATGTCCCCCATGTCCCCAACAGACCCATCGTGGACCTGATGGGGACCTCGGAGACGCCGTCGGAGCCCTCGGAGCTGGAGCTGGACGACGTGGTCATCACCAACCCCCACATCGAGGCCATCCTGGAGAACGAGGACTGGGTCGAGGACGCCTCGTGAGTGTGTGTCCCCTGTGTCCCCCCAGTACCAGGGACCCCTGTGCAGTGCCGACCCCCCACCTTGGGATGCAGGTGGCAGCTTTGGGGATCACCAAGGCATGGGGATGGTCCTCAAGGTGGTCTCGGGGTGGGAATGTCCCCACGGGTCTGGGGGACACGGGGTGTGGGGCTGGCGGGAGAGAGGGGACAAGGATGGAGCGGGGGACACACACACCTGGGTTCACACCCTCCTCCCTCTCCACAGGGGTCTGGTGTCCCACTGCATCGCCATCCTGAAGGTGAGACGGGGCAATGGTGGCACTGGTGGTACTGGTGGTGATGGTGGGTGGCACTGGTGGTACCAGTGACACTGCTGCTGATGGTGGCACCAATGGCAGTGGTGACAACAGAAGCACTGGTGGTGATGGTGGCACTAGTGGCAGTGTGGCAGTGGGGGTACCAGTGACACTGGGGGTGATGGTGACACCAGTGGCACTGGTGGTGATGGTGGCAATGGTGGGTGGCACTGGTGGTACCGGTGGAACTGGTGGCCAAGGTGACATTGGTGCCAGTGGTGGGTGGCACTGGTGGCAGTGGTGGTGCTGGTGGTTGGCACTGATGGTACTGGTGGCAGTGGTGGCAATGGTGACCCTGCTGTCCCCAGATCTGTCACACGCTGACAGAGAAGCTGGTGGCCATGACCATGGGCTCGGGTGGCCGCGTGAAGTCCCCTGCCAGCCTGGGTGACATCATCGTGGTGGCCAAGCGCATCAGCCCCAGGTGATGGGGGGCTCTGGGGGGTCCCAGGGTTCTAGGGGGCTCTGGGGTTTTGGGAGGTGAGGGTCCAGTGGCTCAAGGGGGAGACCCCAGTGCTCTGGAGGGTCCGCAGGGATTTGGGAGGGGGAGATTCAGGGGCTCTGGAGGGGTCCCTGAGGCTCAGGGGGTGTCCCAGGGCTCTGGAGAGGGGCATTATGGGTTTCCCAGGGCTCTGAGAGGAGGTCCTGGAGCTCAGGAGGGTCCTGGGTCTCTGGGGGCAGTCCTGGGGCTCTAGGGGGACCCTGGGACTCTGGAGAGGCTGTCCCTGGACTCTGGGGTTATTTGGGGGGCTCTGGGGGGAAGTCCTGGGGGTCAGGAGGGTCCCAGGGCTCAAAGGGAGGTCCTGGGTCTCTGGGAGGGTTCCTGGGGCACAGGGCGGGACCCTGGGACTCTGGGGGTGTCCTTGGACTCTGGGTTACTTTTGGGGCTCTAGGGGTAAGTCCTGGGGGTCAGGAAGGTCCCAAGGCTCTGGGAGGGGTCCTGGGGCTCTGGGAAGGGGTCCTGTGGCTCGCAGGTTGTTTTGAGACTCTGGGAGGAGGTCCTGGGGGTCAGGAGGGTCTCGGGGCTCTGGAATGTTCCTGGGTCCCTGAGAGGGTTCCTGGGACTCTGAGGAGGGTCCCAGGTCTCCCAGGAGGCTCCAAGGGGGTTCCTGAGAATTGGGAAGGGTGTGGTGGATGGTGTCACTACACTGTCCCCCGGGGTTAACGCCGTCCCCGCCGCAGGGTGGACGACGTGGTGAGATCCATGTACCCACCGCTGGACCCCAAACTGCTGGACGCCAGGTGACACCAGCAGGAGGGGCAGGGGCATTCCTGGGGCTGGGGAGACACCCTGGGTGGTAACACAGATCAGTTCCACCCCATGCCACACCGCTGGGGACACCCACAGGTGACCCAGCAGGACGGGAAGGGCCCTTGGTATGAGCCCATAGCACAGGGCACAGAACACGCTGAGCTGGGAAGGACCCACAAGAATCATCAAATCCAACCCCTGGCCCTGCACAGACACCCCAACAATTCCACCCGGTCCCTGAGGGCTTTGGCCAACCCCTCCTGGAGCTCTGGCAGCCTTGGGG